AAAGACATGCCCTTACTACTCCAAGGAGAGTCTCCTCCAAATCTACCATTTCTCATGTTGATCAAAGCAAAACTGAACTCTTGATCACTTTCACCACTGGATGGACACTGATTAGTCGGACGTGCAGACATACACACATGCACACACGAGCACGTTGACCATTTTGTCTCCGTCACAAGATGCCTCGCAATTATATTTCAAACGATATGCATTCTTGCCTACTTCCACATTCACATTATGTCTTCAAGAATTCCAGCAGCAGAATATTCAAAACAATTGTCCCTTGTGGTGCAGTTCCGCTAATCTCACATTTTATTTGATTAATTATTTCAAATTTCACAACTGGTCGTCATTATGAAATTGATCAAGTTCAATTTTGCAAATTCGGTAAAGTGGAAATTTATTGAGAGCAAATTCCAAAATGTCGACAAATGATTCTTTGGTGGTGGTGGTGGTGGTTGTGGTGGTGTGGACTCTCTTCTGTGCTTTTCATTCTTGTAAGGTATCTGATCACTCCGAATGGGGACGTGGTTGAGAGAGAGTGCGAAATGAGAAAATCCAGTGTAATTAAGACGTCGATATTCTTGCCTCCTTTTCTCCTTTATAATTAATAAAAAAATTATTTATAATTTACGAATAATATTTTATATTTATAACTTTTAAAATATTGCTGAATTAATGATGTTTAATAATTGGAGTAAATTTGTTTAAATGTTTGTTTAACAAGCAGGGGTGTATATAGCGCATTGTTCAATTGTCATTTGTCTTCGTGAAGAGTACATGTTGAGACGCATCGCCACAGCAACCAAGCAGTCCCCATTCGTTATCACCTACTTTGAGTATATGGAATTGCGAGGTTATCCCGCTTTCCTGTTGAGTGGGGGTTGTGGAACGGACCTCTTTGATCTCTCAGTCAAATATGGTGGAATGTCAGAAGAACAGGCCAAATTCTATGCTTGTGAGCTCATCTGTGGCTTGGAACATCTCCACTCATTGGACATTGTGCACTGAGATATCAAACCGGAGAATATCTTACTCTATCACACTGGCCACATCATGATCGCCGACTTCGATATTGCCATTGACCAATCAGAGCGTGGTGATCCTAACAACTGAAACTATGCTGGTGGAACGCCGGGCTATGTAGCGCTTGAGATTTTGAAGAGAATGACTTGCACGAAGAAATCGGATGTGTGGAGTATGGCTGCTGTGATAGCTCATCTAGTCACTTCTTCGAGG